CATACATAAGTTTCCAGTTTGCGATCTAGCTATAAAGGTGCCTGTTCAGCTCATGTTAATTCTCATGGCATTTTCAAAAGAACAGTACTGCTGAAAACATAAAATGAAATATTCATTGGAGAAAATCCTGTTGCTTAGAGTAGTAAATTGCACTAGTGTAGGCCCATTAACTTAATGGGTATTTGGTGAGCCAACTAGTTCCACTAATTCAAATGGGCCTACTCTACTTAATGGGTATTTGGTGAGCCAACTCCTCCATAAATTCCACTAATTCAAATGGGCCTACTCTAACTGTAAATGGCAAAACACTTGGCTCACTAAATTCCCATTAAGTCAATGGGCCTACTCTAGTGCAATTTACTACACTAACCAACACAATTTTGGCTGTTGTGGCAGTGTTTAGGATGTGACAATCTCTCTTTGCTGCATTGTATTTCTTTGAGTCACACTTGCATTTCCTCCCTACCTTTATGCAGTTTCAGATCAGGATTATAAGTATGTTAGCAATTAGAAAGTACTTTCTTCTTATTCCATCAATCTATTTCCTAATTTGTGCTTTTATTTATATGTTTTACCATATGTGCATAGTTTCCTTTATTGATGAAGCATGTTTGCATTTATTATGCAATTATTTGTAAATAATTTTAACAAAATAAATACTTTTAACAAAATAAATACATAGTAAATTAACCAAATAATACTTTTTAAAAACTAATCAAACAGGGAAAGCAAACAAACAATTAAAGGCCAAAAATGCAATCAAGGCTCCCTCTCAAACCAAATGTACTCTTCTCTTCTTTGAGTCCAGCAGGCAGCAGGCCTCAAAAATAATACAAGAAAGGGAAGGAAGGGGAGAAAGGAGGGGGGAAATCCCAAAAAGGCGCATTGACACCAGCAAAAATAACTCAAATAAATGAATTCCCACAAAAGTCAATAGGAAGGCAGCACAAAAGAAACATAAAACTTCATGCAACTCTCTTTTGTAAACACAAAATGTTCTGTATTTTTTCAGCAATTGGGAACAGAACACAAATTACATGAAAGAGGAACTCTTTTGTGTTTGGAGCTTTTTTTAAAGACATGAAAGGCCAATCCATATCAGTAATAATTGTGTAGAGTAAGGAATTTCAACAAGCATATTTTGCGTTGAAAACTACAGCCACTGAAATATCCTCTTATAAGCAACTATTAAAGGTACAGGAACGATGTTCTCTTTGTCATCTGGTTATCCGGATGAAGAGCCAAGAAAACCAATACTGTACTGTAGTGAGTTTCTTTGGAGTACCATCTATGTGAGAAATTAGTTTGTTTTCCATTGGTCCTCAGCTCATAAGGTAATGTCTAGAGAAAGCCTTGGATCTACATTATATTGAGAACACACTCCTGGAATGGGATGTAAATTTTATCTTATCTTCGTTTTTAAAATCTCTCCAGTCTGACTTCACTGCCTTGCCAGCTCTAGTATGCATGCAGTTGTTTCCTAGCTGGAAACTCAGGAGGAGCTAAAGATTGTTCATTCTTATAGGACCCAGGGAGGGTTGTCCAGTGAACACAAGTTTTGTTTATTTTATTTTATTTTATTGAACTGGCAAAGGTGATGATACTCAACCTGTTTCACAAAGCAAAGAAGGGATTGAGAAATGTTTTTGTGAAGCCCTCTTCTCATTCAGGGATGAGAATCAGGGTAGAAGCCCTGACAGATCCGTATGCTAATTTTGATGGGCAGCAGCTCTCCTAGGTCATAAGCAAAGACTTTGCCAACTGTACTACCTGATGACCTTCTAACTGACAGTGAAGACTGTCCTTGGAACTGTATCTGTGCAGAGCAGGCGTTCCACAGCTGACCGATGGCCCAGCATCTGAATGCGGAGCCAAAATATTTGCCTACTTGTTTGTTTCCACAAATCTCAAAAGCTGCTTCCCATTTTTACATTACTTTGAAACACTTATTGCAACTCTGTTCATATTGTTCTGATGCTGTTCTTTCTAGCTTTCTGTGCATGACTATTATTTTAATGTTCAGAGTGATGGACTTCAAACAGAATTCTTGACAATTTGTTCCAAAACTATAGATAACAAAATAAACACAGCTACACAATATCTGACTGAAAGGAACTCGGATCTTCACTCTTATACAGAACCTCAAGACAGAAAGAAAAGCCTGGGCCCTAATAGATGCCAAGCAATTGCCCTGCTTTTGTATTGAAATGAAGAATGTGCATTATGGACATTTCCATGTTTCTTTCACTTCTGGTTCTTTCTTCAGTGGTTTTTAAAATTTTTGTTTCCTTTTCATGTTTTTGCATGTCTGTCCTTACATTTAACATGAAAGGGAAAGCCTTTTTCAGGTTCTTTCATTCTGGGGCTTCCCATTCATGTTTCCTGGCATTTCAAAAGCGGGACAGAATTCTTGAAAATACTCAGAGAAAGCAGAGGGGCAAGGCAACAGATAATGAATCTACTCCAAAACCAGGTGACACTACATGAGAAAGAAAAGGCATCATTAGACCAATGCTGACACTAACTCATAGAAAAAGCCTCTAGCAGTGCCCACTCTCCAGTGGCCACTACCAACAGAAGCCACACAAAAATAATCCTCCAGCCAAGATATTCCTTGACAATCCTATGCACACATCAAAAAATACCTTGCTCACCCACCATTCAATTCAGAAAGCAATGAAGCATTCAAAAAATTACAAAAAGAGAAAGCAATAGAATGAATGCAGCACCTGCGCCATCCACCTGCACAGCAGACTCTCTGGGCCTTGGCAGCACAATAGGAACAAAGGAAAGGAAGCTTGTATTCGTGAAGGCTTTCACGGCCGGGATCTGATGGTTGTTGTGGGTTTTTTGGGCTCTTTGGCCGTTTTCTGAAGTTTGTTCTTCCTAAAATTTCACCAGTCTCTGTGGCCGGCATCTTCAGTTTGCTGTCCTCTGAAGATGCCAGCCACAGAGACTGGCGAAAAGTTAGGAAGAACAACCTTCAGAACACAGTCAAAGAGCCCAAAAAACCCACAACAACTGAAAGGAAGCTTGGTGTACATCAAAGCAACCACCACCACCAGAACAAACAAAACACTTCTAAAACCCTACCCCACCATGTACATCTTTAGTGAATCAATCAAATAATTGTTTTAAATAATCAATCAATCAATCAATCAATCAATCAATCAATCAATCAATCAATCAAACAAACAAACAAACAAACAAACAGGAAAAAGCAATCCCACAAGGGAAAGAATATTCTCTCTCTCTCTCTCTCTCTCTCTCTCTCTCTCACACACACACACACACACACACACACACACCCATACACTCCCCCATACAGTACAAACAAACAACAACAACAACAACAACAAAGAAAGCAGTCCCCCAAGGAAAAGAATAGCAAAAAAAAAACAAAAAAAACCAAAAAAAAATATGCCCTTACCTTAACAACCCTATTAGGGTCACTATAAGTCAGTTCTAACTTGATAGCACATTAAAAACAATAATCTTTGCTTAGCCTCTCCCAATTCATGCTTTAAAGATGAGATTCTAGATACCACCAGGCAATTATAGCAGTTACATTTTAGCACACAAAAAAGAGTGAAATAATGTCTCACAGATGCAATTTCTCAGTGTGAAAGGGTTGTGCTAGATCACCATTGGCGTGATTTGAATCCACTTCAGAATCTTGGATTTCAATCACTGTTTGATGTTTGCTCTGTATAGGCTGCAGCTTGTGCTGCTTTGACACAAGTCTGGTAGACAAGCCAAAGCTCCCTGAGGAGAACATGGCCATTTGAGAATCACAAGGTCGCTGAGGAGAATGCCAGTCCCTGCAAAAATCTCCACCATCAGATTGATGCTATTATTCCAGCCAAAGCAACCTTCTGGGCTGAGAACAAAGATGCCTGATCTGTCTCTCCTTGTCTTTTCAGTAGACAGGGTGACAACCATCGGCTGAAGGGAACATCTTGTTAGCCAGGTCAACTCTCATAGTTGAATATTCAGAGTAAAATTATTCAAAATGCAGAAGTGGCAGAGACTTGAAATCTTCAGTCAATGAAAAAAGTACAAAATTTTGGAGTGATTCTTCTTGGTACATGGCGCATTGCTGTTCACACCATCAGTGTCACGGGAGAGGGGAGTTGTCCATAGCAATCTTGTCCTGTGCAGTCTGAATTATGCAGATTTAAATATTTTCTGCACGCCTCCTTAGTGTTCAATAATTCCCCATCTCTGGCTGATCTTTCATCAAACAATTCTGTACATACATATGCACAAATGAAAACTGGCTGTTGCATTTTTCTCAGGTTAGGGAGAAAGAAACCAAACCAAACAATCTGGACTCATCAGATGTTGAATCTTTCTGTAATCTGCAGGTATTGTGTACTGGTCTTTCGAACAGGCTGAAAGGTCAAACTAGCTCTAGGCAAGCAGAGTAGAAGCTGAATGCCAGCAGTGGATGAGGCTATCATTTAATGTTCCCGGCGCCAGTGTTAGCTCATTCTCCCCCTTTTTGTACAAAAAAAGACAAGCATGAACACACAGCACTGATACCCCTTTCATATAGGTGCATGTAGTTCTTGCCACCTGAGCTGCTAGCCCATACAGGTTACTTTCTCACTTCTATTTTATCCATTGTGGTGCTGGCATGAAAACAGGTGATATGCAACAGATTGCAAATGAGGTTCTTTCTCTCCCTCTGTGCTGGGTCAGAGGAAGGCTAAAAGGTCTGAGAATGGAGTGAGAAGGTCGAGCTTGGAAGGTCAGATCTGAAAGTCCCACCAGGAGGCTAGATTTCTGCCTTACCAGATTAACAGAGCAAGACCCTCTGCCTGGTGTATGTGGTGGTATCTTAAAGGTTAAGCTGATTGACATTCTGCAAGGCTTTGTAGGAAACAGCCTACTTCATGTGATTCTTGAGAGGTCCCATTTAAGGTACTTCACATGTGTTTTCAAGATTTCTAGAGGCCATGAGTGGCTTCATCTAGTTTTTATTCTGTTTTTGGCAGGCATTATTACTCGTCAAGAGGCAGAAGAACTGCTGATGAACAAGTCTGAAGGTGCATTCCTGGTGCGGGTCAGTGAGAAAATCTGGGGATATGCCCTCTCCTATCGTCATCAGAGTGGCTTCAAACATTTCTTGGTGGATGCTTCTGGAGATTACTATAGCTTTCTGGGAGTGGATCCCAACCGGCATGCAACACTCACAGACCTTATTGATTTCCATAAGGTATTTATTTGCTCTCCAGAGACAAATTGTTGAACTCAGAAGAGGAGCAGTTCAAAGGAGAGGAGTAGGGTACTTGTCTATTATACACAACTAATCTTTATAAGCAGATTCGGCTCCAGGTTTAAGAAGGCCATGGGCAAAGAAACACTCTGTGCTATGCTAGTTTAGCCACCATTTTATTTGCCTCTTATGCATTCTGGGAAATGAATTATGGGAAATGCTTCAAAGTGTTTTGTGCTGTAAATTCCTTTAAATGAAAGTCCAGAATGACATCAGGAGACAGATCATGTTGGGACATGGTATTTTTAGCAGGTGGCCAAGACATTGATGATGGCATTGTCTACATAATACAAACATCCATAACTCCTTTCAGGGCTCATAATTATTTTTTTTAAAAAAAATCCTTAGCCCTGCCATGTGATTGAAAGTTCTACAGTTTGCAATTGTTTGTTGAGCCAGTGAGAAAGAACATACCCACCTGCTCCCTACTTTCCTCCCTCATGTCCAGCGAGGCCCTCCAGGAGTCCTTCCAATAGCAGATGAGGGACAATTGTGTACATAGAAGAGGGGAAGAAACAAGCAGAAGCGGAAGCGACTTTATCCCTCGTTGCATCTGAAGAGGTTAAAGTGTGTGCCCACTGGGCACTTCACCAATGCCTTGGTGTGGAGAAGCATTTTTCTTTCCTGGCAATTATTGCTCGTGGTTTGTTAGGGGATTCTCCTCACTTCTAAGGGGGACAGACATGAAAAGCAGGCATCCTGACCTGGATGTCTCAATACACTCATGAAGTTTCTCTCTAGGCAAATCATTAAGCTATCAAAATGATGCCAATAAAATGAATTTATATAATTTCTCTATATTTTTCATAATTTCAGCGACTTCCGGCTTGACACTGCGACGAGACAGCAGCAGGAAGATGGAGCTCCGTCTCCTGGGCTGAATTCTGACATGTTTGGGACCCCCCTCCCAGAGTGTTAAAACCACCCCAAAGAGGTGGTGAATTGGGGAGAAGCCTGTTGATCATGTCACCATCCCCGCTTTCTGAGAGCCAACCTATTAATGTAGTTTGGCCTTGTATGGTAATGTTTGTCACTGTTTTCGACCAACTGCTAGAAAGCCAGATCAAGACCATGATGTTACAGGGTGACAGGGTTCATTAAATCTTTACCCCCACTGTGCTCCTAATCAGAATTGACCCTACCCCATAAACTCTCTCTCTCTCTCTCTGTTATCAATGAATATTCCTTTCAATTCAGATAACAAGTACCTCCTCCTCCTCCCATTCTGATTGGGGCCATGGCAGGGGTACAGGATTCAAGTCCTGATCCTCCCATACCATGATAACGATAAGGCTTGTATCTTCACTGCAGCAGCCGCTTATTAAAACAAACAAAAAATGTGCTACAGTACTTATATACTGTCCCATAGTGCTTAAGGCACTTTCTGAGCAGTTTACAATTTAATTATGCTGGTTGCACATTGCCACCTCTCCCCGCCAGCAAGTTGGGGTGCTCATTTTTACCAACCTTGGAAGGATGGAAAGGCTGAATGACATCAGATGATAATGTGTTGTAACATTATTTGGTCCTAAGATTCGACTGCTTTCACAGACATAAGAGAATATCGATCTGTATTTGATAAGAAAGCAAAGGAAAAATGAGATCGTCAAGCAACTCAGTTCCAGTCCCAGTTTCACCTTCTGCACTTCTTCCAGAGGTGGAGAAAGTCACTTCAGTGTCATTCTGGGAGTCCTACTCCAAAGATTCCACAGTAGAGGCAGGCAATAAAAGTTTGTTTATTTGCCCCACATTTTCCAGAGGGTGTCCACTCAGAGGCAGTGCCCCAGCGTCCATGCCCCACCTCCTCTGGGTGCTGTTTCTGAGTGGGTAGTTGCCAGAGGAGGCAGAGCTGGGAAGCACCAAACAGCTGTTTGGCCAATAAATGCACCAACATGAACTGCCGAACCAACCAGTTTGCGCCCATCTCTAGCACACAGCCGGCATGACCAGTGGCCATATAGTGGGGCTAAATTCTTGGAGCCCAAGCATGGAAGTGGTAACTTCCCCATCTGTGCCCTGGCTGCAGGCTGGAACCAAGGACAGTGTGTCCTACAGACTACAATCGTTGCTCATGGCAGTGGTGACATTTTGTGAGATACAGATGGAAAGGGAAAGGGGGAGAGGGTATCGATCTGTATTTGATTTAAAAAAAGCAAAGGAAAGATGAGATTGTCAAGGAACTCAGTTCCAGTCCCAGTTTCACCTTCTGCACTTCTTCCAGAGGTGGAGAAAGTCACTTCAGTGTCATTCTGGGAGTCCTACTCCAAAGATTCCACAGTAGAGGCAGGCAATAAAAGTTTGTTTATTTGCCCCACATTTTCCAGAGGGTGTCCACTCAGAGGCAGTGCCCCAGCGTCCATGCCCCACCTCCTCTGGGTGCTGTTTCTGAGTGGGTAGTTGCCAGAGGAGGCAGAGCTGGGAAGCACCAAACAGCTGTTTGGCCAATAAATGCACCAACATGAACTGCCGAACCAACCAGTTTGCGCCCATCTCTAGCACACAGCCGGCATGACCAGTGGCCATATAGTGGGGCTAAATTCTTGGAGCCCAAGCATGGAAGTGGTAACTTCCCCATCTGTGCCCTGGCTGCAGGCTGGAACCAAGGACAGTGTGTCCTACAGACTACAATCGTTGCTCATGGCAGTGGTGACATTTTGTGAGATACAGATGGAAAGGGAAAGGGGGAGAGGGAAAGAGATGAAATTTCCCCATCTCTGTTTTGCACATAAGTTGAAACCAAGGACAGCAAGTCTTACAGACCTCAGATATCTGGGCCACCAGCTGATGCTGAGCCGAGAAAGTCACTTCAATGTCATTCTGGGAGTCCTACTCCAAAGATTCCACAATAGAGACAGGCAATAAAAGTTTGTTTATTGGCCCCACATTTTCCAGAGGCTGCCCACACAGAGGCAGTGCCCCAGCTTCCATGCCCCACCTCCTCTGGGTGCTGTTTCTGAGTGGGTAATTGCCAGAGGAGGCAGAGCTGGGAAGCACCAAACAGCTGTTTGGCCAATAAATGCACCAGCATGAACTGCCGAACCAACAGTTTGCGCCCATCTCTAGTACACAGCCGGCATGACTAGTGGTCATAGTGGTGCTAAATTGTTGGAGCCCAAGCATGGAAGTGGTAACTTCCCCATCTCTGCCCTGGCTGCAAGCTGGAACCAAGGGCAGTGTGTCCTACAGACTACAATTGTTGCTCATGGTAGCGGTGACATTTTGTGAAATACAGACGGAAAGGGAAAGGGGGAGAGAGAAAGAGAGAGACGAAATTTCCCCATCTCTCTTTTGCACATAAGTTGAAAGCAAGGACAGTAAGTCTTACAGACCTCGGATATCTGGGCCACCAGCTGATGCTGAGCCTTGTGTCACTGGAGAGCCTGCTTCTCTCTCTGGAGGAACTGAGGTGGAACTGGAAGTTTTTTCTCTCTCAGGCTCCCTCCTTGCTTGTCATAGGCAATAACAGCAGCACGAAAAGCCCATTCGTCTGGGGAGAAAGCACAGGGACACCTGTCAGAAGCAAAATGTCCATTAGCCCCTGACATTCAAAATAAAATAGATGGGGATGTCCCTTGACAAAAAAAGAAGAATCAATGGCTGCAGCTATGACAAGCTTGTTAGAGGGCTCGCTCAGCCTCTTGAGTGAGCAGGCAGTACTTGCTTAATTGTCTGTGGTCAAATGGGGAACAGATTTAACAGTGTTGTCTCGGGATGTTACTCCTTATCTCCCAAGCCACTAAGCTCCAGTGTCTTTCCTGTCTTGAGTGCACCTTAGCGACAAATACAGGGAGGGGAAAAAAAAAGTCAAAACCAGCTGTGGTAATGGCTGAAGACTGCAGTGGTGCAGACACCAGCTAGGCTAGCTTCAATTATTAAATCCACTTTGTTGTTGCTACTGCTTTTTTTCAAAAATGTTTTTCCAAAGGCACATACAAACACAAGTCCTTGATGTCAATTTCTTTAAAAAAAAAAGTCTTCAATATCTCTCCAGGGATCTTAATCCTGCTCTAAGCATGATCTCTCATTCTTCCTACCTTGTACTTAAACGTTCTGGTTTTCAAAGCAATAGATAGACATCCTGAGGAGTGGAAAAGAGCTAGAGATACACAATATTGTGTATTACCTCTTACATGCTGTCTGAAACATCTGTACTGTAAGGCTGGCCAGCTTAAAGCCTTTTAGATGTTGGGTTGATATTCTCAGCATGTTTTACTGTGTGGGCTGGGGCAGACGGGCTCTGCAGCCCAACAATGTCCAGAGGGCTACAAGTTGCCCAAACCTGCTGCAGCAAACTAAGGGCCCTAAGGTCACAGTTCTATACTTCTCTACTCAGAAGTAATATTTATAAGAATACAAGCCAGTAGCCTGTTTAATATTTACTTGAGAGAGGCGCTCCAATTGTGCAAGCTGCTCTGACAATCTGAAGCTGGTTGTGCATGACCAGGTACATAACCAGCATCTTGTCAGATAACTGTCACAGCTCCTGCAGTTGAAACTCTGCATGAATAGCTATGAAACAGGATACTGGTTTTGGATTTAATAAGGCTAACTTGCAGTGATAGATTGGTGGTCTAGGACTCTGGAGAACAGAGTTCAAATCACCACTCAGTAGCTGAAGATGACTTGTTGGCCTAGTGCTAAGCAGGCCCCAGGCCATCTACACATACATGTATTGAAGACAAAACACATCTCTCTTTTTTTTGGAGGGGGGAGACCATGGCTTTATTAGTTACAGGGCCATCTACACCTGCATGTATTGAAGACAAAACACATCTCTCTCTTTTTTTGGGGGGGGGGAGACCATGGCTTTATTAGTTACAGCAGCAGTCCTTGGGCCAGTATTGTGGAAATTCAATCAATTGTACTGAGAGACATGAATGCCTGCTGATGTCCATCACTGATCCCTTCAAAAGACACTGAAGGTTCCACTAGGAAAGGCAGTCCTGCAGAGACCACATGGGTATATGCTATTCCATGGCTTCCTGCCACCTGAGAGCAGGGCCATGCCAATGGGCTCCTGATGTGCCAGACCACAGCCCTGGCCCAGGTCCCTCCAAGAGGATCTTGTTAACAACATGGGTGAGCAGGCTCCTGCCTGTTGGACTCTCACCATCTGGATCCAGCCCCAATGTCCCAATTAACCACTACGGTTGGGCAATACTCAGCTCCAGCCAGAGAACTGCAACTGTAACCAATCTGCTATGGCCACATAGATATCACTTAGCTATATAAGTCCAATAAGTGGACACCTCAGGACCCTCCACTGCACAATGCTGCACTTGTCTCACCTTCTGTGGTCTTGAATTCACCACTGACACTGCCGTCTTGGCATGATTCTGGCACTCGCCAATCTGCCTTGTGCTCTGCACTTGCTGCTGCTGCCACCAATGTTGATGCTGATGAGGTCCCTGCTCATCAAAAGCTGGTGAGATGTGGAATGGCTGGAGATCCTCCCCAGGTCAGACAGGAGGACCAGATTGGGGCCCACTGTTCTCCAGGTCTAACTTTCAATTTCCTGCTAGCCAATAGAGAGCAGGTAGGGAAAAACCCTTTCCTGCTGGCCAATGGGAAGCCATCAGGGAATTCTCCATGCCTTCCTCCCATGACCCTCAGGGCACTGCAGCCATGCCAGCTCCACCCCTTTTGTGCCTCACCACCAGCCTGGGGACTGTCACTCCAGCAATACCTGGGGAGCCCCAGGTAAGTCTGGACCCCCTCCCCTTTTATGAGAATCTTCCCGCCTTTCAGAATATTAGTTGTTGTGGTAATACTCTTCCTTTTCACAAGTGCAATGCTAACCATTAAAACTTGAAGCATGTGACAGAGAGGAGCTAGGTTTGTTTACTGAGGATTAAATTCAGTGCAACTGTTTAAATGTATTTACAATGGCCACCTTCTAGTTATAACCAACATGATTATTTTTCGTACCAAACTGTTTAAATGTATTTACAATGGCCACCTTCTAGTTATAACCAACATGATTATTTTTCGTACCAAACTGTTTAAATGTATTTACAATGGCCACCTTCTAGTTATAACCAACATGATTATTTTTCGTACCGCTGATACCATTTATCTTCCTTTGCTAATTTAATTCATTTTCTCTTTCCAGGAAGAAATAATCACATCTTCTGGAGGAGAATTGCTAGTAGAACCTTGCAGCCAGACAAAGAACCCTCCTGACTACAGTCCCTTGTTTGAATGACAGTTCTTTTGTTTTTCATTTGAGGACTACAGTGGCATAAACATGCTTTATATGACAAAGCAAGCCTGTTATCACCAGCTAATGACCAAAAAACCTTAATCCACAGAGGTCTTATATAAACGATCCAGCTAATAATGTGCAGACATCATTTGTATCATTAGTAATACAAAGCTAAAAGAAACAAGAGGACAATTCCTTTGTACGTGTACTTCAAAATATGGCTGAAGTGATGATAAAAAATAATAGGAAAGGAGGTGCTTGGTAATAGATGCAATCACTTAACTAGCCTGTAGTGAGTTTTGAAATTCTCAAGAGTGTAATCTTTGGCAGCTAGATGTATACTGGTGAATTTTTTTTATAAGTTTATGGTATGGAAATGTAGCAATAGTTATTTTGTGAGCTTCAAATGGAACATGATGGCAGGAGAACTATTTGTTCAAATTTGTTTCTTCTCCAGTTATTCACAGCATACGGGTGGGCAGATTTTAACTGTAGCATGAAAGGGGTGTATTACCGAGGAGAATAAAGCTCTTCCTCCACACACCACTTTGCTCTTGTAGTCCTTTCACCAGTCGTAGGGACACAGGAAGCTGCCTCATACGGAGTCAGGCCCTCTGTCCATCGAATCCAGGAGTGTTGACAATGAATGGCAGCAGCTCTCCTGTGCTACAGCTCTCCTGTGCTACGATTGGTCGTTCCTAGTCCAATCCAGAGGTGGATTGAACCTGACTAAGATATTCCACATGGAAAGCAGCAGCTCTACCATTCAGCTACAGATTGATCCCTCCTGGTAGTACAGCTAAGCTGGGGAAAAATGGAGTGGGAGTGGGGGTACAAGAAGGAAGTAAGGCATTTGCTGGAGAAAGGTTTAAGGACTCGTTTCTCTACCTTCTATGTTTCAAGAGACAGACCCTCATATCCTTTAGCCATGATAGAGGTAACTGTGGATTCATGTATTTTGGACACATGTGATTAGGTGTTTATGTTTATGGAGCCCACAGGTTTTCAGTGGGTGTGTAGCAGTTTTTTTTGTTTTTTGTTTTTTGGCCCTTGTCTTCACTTCCAGAAGTGGTTCTCTCAATCATTTCCTACTATTCCATTATGAAAAGGGTTATTCTTATCATGGGCCTTTGAGACCCCCCCCCCATATACCAGACTGAATGGTTAAGAATCAAACTAAATGTATATTGCCCTTTGGCAAATATTGGAAAACATTACACTTTTCAGCAGCACTCATTGCCGCTTTTATAAAGAACAATAAAAACTTCTGATGCATTGTGGGTATTTTTGTCTTGGCATTTATATAGCTGGGAAAACCTTCCTTACACATCTCCAGCTTTTCACTACTAGTTCTGTAAGGCCAACTGTGCCCATGTGCTTATATTTTGTATTAAGCCTTGGTTATGACAGATATGACTGTTTGATACTTTGGTGAGTTTTTCCACTGAAATATGAATTATATTTTTCTTCCTCCCATTTGTACCCTGGCTTTCTACTCAAAGGGCTCTCCAGGTGATAGTAGCAATAAAACAATTAGAAAAATAACTCAACCATGAAAAAAAATAATAAAACCAGAGACAACACTATCAGCAGTGCAAGCAGCAAGAAAAACTAACAGTGAACCTTGAAAACATGGCACAGAAAAATATCTCAGCACTTGGGTGTAGGCTTAGTTGTACTTATATTAGAACAATCAAAATCAATTGAAGTTACTTCAGGAATGACTCCCTTCTGTTCCATTTATTTCTGTGAGTTTTTTCTAAATAGTAACACTTCTCAACCTATCTCTTCGACATCAACCTTGCAGACCTGACAGGGGAGAGCATTCACATGGGAAGTTGCCACTGTGGAAAACCAACCAGCCAACTCTAGACCATCAGATCTGAGTGCTTCCTATTTGTCTTCCCAACAATGAAGACAGTCATGGTACTTCATCTTAAAGAATTCCCTTCAAAGGTTCTGGTAAAATTGTGTTTATGTCCCACCTTATAATCAAAGCAAAGAGCTGCTAGGTAGCTTAAAAACAACACTAGGAATGTAACATACAAGCATCTCATATGAAAGAAATTGTGGAATCCAACAAAATAGGAAGGAACAGAACTGAAGCAAAGTTGGACAAATTAGTTTCTCCTGTATCAAAATACTGTAATAATATGTGTAGCCACATTGATTCCAACTTATAGCAACTCTTGCTAAGGTTTCCAAAGATAAAGTGCTCAGAAATGGTTTACTTCTAGTCCCTTCTTCTGGTTGTGCTCTGAAGCTGTGCAGCTTGCCATGGCTTAGCTCTTCTCCAGGAAGGCAGAGTAGATTATCAAACTCCCAACCTTTGCCACTGCGGCCAAAAATAAACTTTCCACTATTACAGACATGGAAGAAAGCATTTCCTAAAGCAGCCATTCACAGTGGGGCCCATATGGCCCCTTTGGGGGCCCTAGCACATTTGACGGGGGCACAGACTGGAAACAATTCTTCACACACCACCTTTTCAGATTCATGTGATTTATACAATCCTAATTTGGCCTATATTTCTTTCATATTGTTTTTATGGCCAAGGCCAAGAAAAGGTTGAGAATAACTGATCTAAAGCATAATAAATGCATAACGAACCTTATAAGGTGGTGCGTGAAGAATTGTTTCCAATCTGCGGCCATCTTCAAATGGTCCAGGGCTCCCCAGAGAGCCATACATCCTTCATTGAGAGTGGCTGCACTAAAGTACTCTGGGCCCCTTCAAATATGAACAGTTAATACATAGGAAATAGCTGGGAATCAGTGAAACTTCTTCAAAATTACTGCAGTCTGCCATGACTAAATATTTCGGCCTCTGCATTTTGGATGCTCTTCAGAGATGTAAAGCATTCAAGAAGTTGCTAAAACATGTTGCACACTGGTTATTTTGTCCCCAAAAGAGGACAAGAGTTGTGCACTGAGCTGAAAATATTCAAAACCATTCTTAGCCATAGATGTTCTTTGAGCACCTTAGGACAGTATGCAGATCACTAGTAGTCCCCAGAGAGTGAACAGCCTGCATGGCAATACATAATGTTTGGTCTAGGACAGCTGAAACTTTGGCCTTCCTCCCATCTTCTCTGCAATTCCCTAATGAAAAAATTCAGAACAATGGCCCAGTTTTTCATCCTGTAATCCATTTTCATTTTTTCCCCAGTCTGTGCTTCATGCATAAGCTCATATTTTAGGTTTTACCTGGCTCTAAAATAAATTCCTGATAAATTCCCCAGCAAATGAAATTACCGGCTGGAAAACTGCAATTTCGTCTTGAGAGTTTTATTATGCTAATAAATGTCAGGATTCTCAAATAAAGGAATTGGGTTTTTTTTTCTTCCTAGAGTCCCACAGAAATAATGAAAAACAGCCCACAACATATAGAATAGCGGGCAAGGAAAGCTTCAACAATATACAACCAGAAACAGCAGCCTTCTAATAGAGTAGAACTTGAAGATAAATTTCATAAGAAACAGAAAGAGATTGCGGCAGAAAGGAATTTAAAAGGAGCTTTAAATGGAAAAAGGCACCGAGATTGCCAGTACGCTGGAGGGGCGAGGAGCAAATACAAGTGGATGAGGGGTGTCTGTTTCCTAAGCTTTCCCGTCTGTCTTGTTGAATCTGAGGGGGAAAAAAACAGGTCATTAAAAGACAAACAGCGCGTGGGAGAACATAGGGAGAAAAATTGCTTTGCAAAGTTTTAACAGAGTTTGCCAGAGATTTGATTTTATGTTCAGGGATCCATATCTGTTTACAAAGCCGCCTTACACTGACTGAAATCATCCAACATGCTTTTAAGAAGAGCACTTCTGCAGGAAAACAAAGCCAACAAAGAGTCTAAGGTCATCTTAAAGGCTAACACATTTTATTTGGGTATAAGCTTTTCGGACTGCTTCCCTCTGCATCACATGCACCTGTCAAACTGAGCTGCTGCCCATGAAGCCTCAAGCCAAACAAAATATTATCAGTCTTTATGATGCCACCAGATTCTTTGTTACTTTTGGTGAACTAGACTAAACACAACTACCTCTCGAAATGTCTCCAGTCAAGGTCTTGCCATCAGAGAGCCATTAACGACAGGCACTAGGGATTAAATCTGAAGAGGAGCTCTCCTGCTTATAGCAGAGTGGGCAAAGTGTGCTGGCAGATTGAGCTGTCAAAGTTAATGGTAGGAAATTCCAGGGAGCTGCAGCCCAAGGATTTACAGAGGGCCACATGTTGCCCAACTACGCCATGTGTTTGAGGATACACAGCTTCTCTCTCCTATCCTTCCTTCCTTCCTTCCTTCCTTCCTTCCTTCCTTCCTTCCTTCCTTCCTTCCTTCCTTCCTTCCTTCTTTTGACATTTGTACTACCCATCTGGCTGCCAAGGCCACTCTGGGCAGTTTACAGTGGTGACATCCATCATTTTTTCCTGGTCAGTTTTTGAATATGACATGTGTAATAACCTGAATAATCTAGTGGCTGCATTCCACCTTTTTCTCTGCTGTGTTTGTCATTGCTTCACTGGTGTTTCATAGAGAACAGTATGGCTTCTGGCTAACAACTTTGTTCAGATTTTTCAAAATGCATATTGAAGAGATGAAGCCAAACTATTCCTTCAAAAACTTCTTGCACAATTCAGTCAGGATCTGTGTTCAGGTTCTGCCTGCTGCTATTCTTTGTGCTTACCAGCTCATTGCTGTGACATTTTCTGCACTTCCTATATTTACAGATCTGCAGCTGTGATCTTCACATTCAGGCTGGTAACTTGGTGTTCCTGCTATTGTTAATCATGTTAGAGCAGATTTGAATTCTGTATATTTCCATTAGGAGCCTCCCCATCAATAATTTTTCTCAGTGAGATTTCAGGGAATTCATTACATGACACTTTATGCTCTCCTGTTATTAAAAGGGAAACGTGATTCTGTCTTAGGGGGAAATTTCTGACTTTTATAGGCTCCGGCCATTCACTTCTGATTTTATTTGCAGAATAGAAAGTTCATAAATATTCAAGGGCTACATCATTGAACGAACAAGCAAACTTGATTTGCTTGTGTTACAATGAGAGATGGATGGTACTTCCTAAATTTTGCCAGCAACTTTTCTTGAATAATTCCTTTTTATCACAAATTAGAGGTGTGTGTATCTGTGCTTTTGGGCAACAAGTCCCAGAACTCTCCAGGTAGCATGGCTACCATTGTGCGGAATTCTTGGAGCTGTTATCTAAAGACACAAATATGTACTAGCAATACTGCATCTGTGTCATGTGACATACTTGTGGCATTTTTTTCTTTGCATCTACTGACTTTATTGGCAATAATCTTTGCACTAACCTGCTCCACTTAAATCCATTCATAGTGCACTGTTTTCAGCCAGCCCATTCAGCTTAATCATCTAACTAGCCCATTAAACCATCAGATGGGCTTCATTTCCTTGTAGGCAGTATTCATCACCTCATCTCAGGGCCTGGATGTTCTGCTTTGCTTGAAGGAAGTCCAGGAGGCTGGGGTTTAGATAAATGGACAGGTTCGAGCTTCTCATTTGTTAGTTTAAGAAAAGCTCACCAGTGCTTGGCTGATGTTAGTCAGAATACCTACTTTCAGAATGTATCTGTGTGAATAAGCTCAAAGTCTATGTTCTTTATTGGAACTTGG